TATTCCCATTCCCTTCAGCCTCCATATTTGATACGTTTCCTATTCAATCACCCCGGCAGAGCCTCGTGATTGGCAGTCCACCTTCTACCTCTGAAAAGAAGGGTTAGGAGAAGGAGGAATGGGAGAAAAACTGGAGGATGAAGAGAAGAGAGATAGAAGAGAGAGTGCACTGTACAATGGGAACAAGCCCAGATCAAGATCAATCAGGGAAACAGAGACATAGATGAGAAAAAACCCACAGCAAAACCTTCATATAACGCAGTAGGGTTCCCTTGGTAACCTGGATTTTCTGCAGTAGAGGAGTGTGGTGCTGAAGCAGCGCCGGAGCTCCCTGTTGGAGAAGATGCAGATGAAAGGATTGACCCCAGCTTGGGCAAAGCTCATCCACACGGCTGCCGTCAGGTAGCCCCCAGGGACCACAGGGCCCCTTGCAAACACCCGCCAGTAGCAGGCAACCAGATAGGGCCCCCACAGTGCCAGGAAGAAAAACGTCATGATGTAGAACATCCTACTAATCCTCTTCTCTGTTTTGAATTCATCCAATACCAGTAGACGCCTGCGGCCTGCTGCGTTGCTGTTCTGCCGGATGCCGAGCAAGGTAGGCGGGGTGGGGCCTCGGCCGAATCCAGCCAGCCAGTTGGCCGCCGCCTGCCCGCTGGCGCCTGGCCCGTGGAAGGTCCAGTTCTGGCTGACAGCAGGCACGAACTGGACAGGCTTCATCTTTCGACGATCGTGGACGAAAAAGATGAGCTTGAGGTAAACCAGCTGTGTGGCCAGGAGGATGAGAGCCAGCAGGAGCATGAAGCCCAGTGAATCATTCGCCCTGAAGGAACGGTGCTGGAACGTGCACTGGTCCTCCTCCCGGATAAAAGAGTACGTCCCTACGTCCAGCACCGGTGGGAAAGCCATAGCCACTGACAACGTCCACACCATGCAGATGACAGCTAGACAGGTCCAGAAGGTCAGCCTCTTGGTGTAGAAACGGTGGTGTGCGATGGCCAGGTAACGTGTGACACTGACACAGAATAGCATAAACGCCGTGTGGAAACAGGAGAGCACACCCAGGAAGGCGATCACTTTGCAGGTTAGCGTGCCATAGGTCCATGCAGATCCATTCTTGACCGAGGTGAAGACAAAGGGGAAGCAGATGGCGGAGCGCAGGATATCAGAAGCGCACAGGTCCAGCAGAAAATAGTAGGGCGCTCGGTGCAGGCTCTTGTCTTTGACCAGCAGGATGGAGATCAGGAGGTTTCCAACCACACCGACTCCAATGATGAAACCCAGAGAGGTCAGTTTGAGGAACGTGGCGAGAGGAGAGACATTCTGCAAGATGGTGTGGTCCCCTGCATGGCTATAGTTCGCCATAGATGGAGGAGGGATCATAAAGATAGCGGAATAGCTTCAGCCAAGTATCATGATCTAGAGGTGGCAGGGGGAGGCGTTAGATCCATTTGGCGGTGTGCTTTGAAGAGGTTTCCAGGCATATAGGCAACCTCTCCTCTAAGGCATCCTTTGTTCCTTTGTCTCATCACACCTAAAAAAAAATCCCTGAAAAATATTATCCACCCATCAGCATTCAGTCCCAAACAACAGCTGCATTGTTTTCAACTGCACTTGCACAATCTAGAATGTGATAAGCAATAACGTTTCCTCTGCCTGCCATTTATTTACTTATTTATTTGTTCTACATTTTAACATTTAGAGTGACACAGTGCAGAGCTCTGCCTCTGCTTGAATACTTTGTCTAGATACAGGCAGACAGACAGACAGTAATGGAGCTTGATTAGACTAAAGCATTCATCTGTTAGCAGTAATTAAGGAATTTCCTGAACAAAAGCACTGATGGCAAAGAAAAAGACACTAACAGCTTTCATTAAGAAAGAACCGACGCGATTTATTATTTTTTTCCTTTTAAACCAATGTCTTTCGGAAAAAAAAAGACAAAAAAAAAGAAAGAAAAAAGGCTCGGTTTGGGATTATTTTGAGCATCTTCACCGCACTGTGAAACATTAAGAGGGAAATGCGGTCCAAAATAAGCTCTCTCTTGATCACACCCTACACCCTGCAGAACAGAGGACGGCTCTCTAAAGCGGTGGGTGCCTCGAATAAACTCGCCCTGCTCGCCTTTATGCACTGTGGAGAATCGACGGCGGGCGCATACATAATAAAGCATCCGTGTTTTTGTCTGATTAAAGGTTAACTGGATTACGGCTCTTAACGTTAATAAGCAGTGTTCTCATTAGGGCGTTTATTGAGCCAGCCTCCATTTTTCCCAGATCATATTTTATATGAGTAATTAGAGAAGAGTTGAGAGAATATACTGTGTAATACTGACACTAAAGCCGCATTTTCGACATCATTTCGCTTGTTAATGCGCGGGTGTGATGATCAGTGGGGATGGATTGAAAAAGGATGGTTGGAAGTGACAATAACAAGCCTGCATGGTAATAATAATATGGGATGTTCAACTCGATAGCTTTTTTTTTTTTAATTGTTTGGATAATTCCACACAGCCTTTTGGTAATGTCTAAATTCGTTCACGTTGGCGTTTTGGGTCTACTTACGTGTTCAAATGCGTCCTCTCGATTGTCAGTCGAGTATTTTTACGCGCGTCTGTGAATCCGATCAATTTCAGTAAAAAGAATTCAGCGGGTTAAAATCATCGTCCTTTTGCATATCCCGATCGGCTGGATAAAGCACAACAGAGCAGCGTACGTCCATTAGACTAGAATCATTTCCAAGTCCCCCGCTTGAATTGCCCAGAATCGCAGCCACCACACAAGACAAGGCCAAAAAAAAGGAGAGAGAGAGAGACAGAGACAGACAGACAGACAGCCGATCACAAGATCAATCAAAACCCTACCTGTTGATAATCCTATTTCGTTTCCCTCCTGGACGTTATTTACATTGCACAAGTCGGGTTTTTGCCGTTTTTAAAAAGCCTGATTTGTTGCCTGCCCCCTTTTTTCCTCCACGGTGAATATCCTACAGTAAACGGAGCTCAGTGCGCATGCGCCCTGCATCCCTATTTGTGATCCAAGACGCGTCTTGTCTCTTGTTGCAGCAGCAGCAGCTCCCTCTCTCTCACGGTAACATCTGCTCAACGGGGCCGCTGCTGGCCGGTAACGCGTTACAGCAGCACTCACTATTTCCCCTTGTAACGTTTAATGTAACGGATTACTGTTTGTTTGTTTTTTTTGTTTGTTTTTTTAGGTTCTCACCTAGATAAACAGAAGATAAAAATACATATTTATAATTATCCTAACTGATGTTCAAAAAATATTTATTAATATTATAGGCCTAAATCAAATCCTAAAAAATATAAATAGGGTTGAATGTAGGCTGTTTTATCTACCTTATCAGATGTATTCAGCTATAGCATTTGTTTATTGTACACCTACAATAGCTCTCCGTCTGCCATTCATTGTGCTCATACATGTTTCACTCTACTGAAATGTCAAGCATTATGTAGCTACAAAATGAAGGGTTAAATCAGGCAGCCCAGTTCACCTCAAGGTAGAATGACTTCCCCTGTACTATATATGCATAATTGACAAGCACTTTGCGCACTGTTGTTCATTCTGCCTGAGCAGCATGATAAATTCATAGGATTTGATTTCTCAACCACGTATGGAAAGCTGCAATGTCATGAGCAGTAGTGTTTGGTATCTACCTGGGCTATAAAGCATGAATTAATTATGGTCATACATGTGAAACTACTGTTTCATAGCAGGGAGCAATGTGAAGTGTGCAGATTTCTATGTTTTATGATTAAAAACTAATGCTGCCAACAGCCAACAAGCAGTCAGCCTACCAAACATCACAGACATGGTGACCTAGAGATCGAATGATTCATTTTACTCCAGAAGAAACTCCATTACTGCCCTCCAGACAGATTAAAGTGACGGCCTTAATGATTTTATGCATGTCCCAATATTCTCTAATGAACAATTACTCATTTTGGTGCAGACCTTGTAAACACTTTGATGCATCAGCATCCCAAGGCTAAATAATGAGTATTTTAAATCATCAGTTATACATGGCAATACAGTTATATATATAACAAATGAGAGTTTCTCTTTAAACTAATTTGGTTTTAAAAAAAACAATAAAGCTGATTATATTGGCTTCAGTGGTAGAAGGTAACTAAGTATATTTACTCTTGTGCTGTACCTATTCAATTACATTTCAGTGGAAAATATTGTACATTTTACTCCTCTACATTTATCTGATAGCTATAGACTTACCGGTTACTTTTTAGAACCTGATTTTAGATAAAGAACTTAAATGATAAAAATCAATATATTGATAGAGATTAAACCAGTCCAGTCATTTGGACTTTGACCTTTTACAAAAAGCAGTGTTTACTTGTCATGTATGTATTATTCACAGTTCTTCCAGAGACAATTCCTCTTTTAACTTCTCAGATGGTTTCAACATAACTATTTGAGGCCCAAAGTTTGTATTTATATTTTTTTGTTTACATTATATGTATATTTCACACATGAAGCTAAATATTAAACTTATTTTTTTTTTTTAAATCAACATTTTTTCTCCTTTCCGACCTCATTATTCATCTCACAACTCCTCAGATTTGTCTTGTGACCCTTTGTAGGGGCCCTTAGGTTGGGAACCAGTAGACTTAACTACCTAAATACAGTATAATGTTGCTTACACATTGAAGTCATTATTATGAAATGAATAATGTCAGACCGTCAAAGGGGGAATTTTCTGCAGAGCCAGTTTTACTTTTGATACGTTTTGAATGTAGGGCTTATAATGGAAAAATATTTTTACACTATTATACTCAAACACATCATATAGAGAATGTCCTCGGCCACTTCATTTTTAAATATCTGCAATCAAAACCTTCACAAAATAGATAAAAGTCCTTTTAGGTGGTCTGCTCCACATCTGAACATGGAAGCCACACTTTCTAAATAAAAGAATAGTGGGGAAATGTGATTATACAGCAGAATAAATGTCATGCAAACCAGTTGTGAAGAGCATCAGATGAACCAATTTATTATTCTCAAAGCCATCCTCATACATTTTCACAGCAGACACCGCAACAACAGCTCCACTCTTTTCATGTAACCACACTTGAGATATTGTGCTTCAGACAATAGCAATGTTGTGTTGTGCAGACATAGACACATCAGGAAATCACAGTGATTAATCCAAACATGGAAAATAAGCGCAATATGCAACGCAAGCATCCTACAAAGAATACACGGTAACTGCAGCAGTCTTTTCATATAGAAGGCAACAGTGTTTGGTTTTTAATCTCAGCAGTGCAACAAATAATAGTTCCTGTATTTTGGACTTCCTGGTTGTCCCACTCCACCTTTCTCCACGTGGTTCCCGTTGCGCTTGACGCATTTATTCCAATAAGGCACGTTTCTTATCAGTCGCTTCGACACAAACCTTGTGCCAGAAGGTCCTTGTGAGATCACCGAAGAGGTAATAATGCGGTGGATGATAAGATGAGGGGACAGGCGCACGATCCAGGAGAGTTTCCTCTCTCTCTCTCACAGATGTCCGTTCCGCCTCCGCGCGTACCAGCCGAGGAAGGCGCAGAACCCCACCACGGTCAGGATGGTGCCTAGGAGCAGGGCTAGAGCGTCGCCCGCATCGTAAGCCTCCGCCGGGGGGATCAGAGAGAGGACTATCAGCCAGACGATCGCTGCGGCGCTTGGGAGTTCAAGTTTGGGAGCCATGTTGAGCTTTTTCCGCTGAGTTTCGGGAAGCTGAGGCGCCTGCGTCACAGTCAGATGACAGCGGCAGCGGCTGGACTTCCTGGTGCGCTCAGCCAATTGCGCAGCTGATTTATTCTAACCTGTGCCTTCTGGCTGTTTTGTTTTGTTTCCTCTTAAACAGAATATTCACTTTATATTTCAGCAGGCATTTGTCCTATGGCGCAGAAATAATTGCACAATTCTACTGTTGTTGGATTTCTATTTTACAGATCAGGTTAACATGCAAACTGTAGTTATGATACAGTGAGTCTGTTTGTGACATTGCTCCTCTTATTGGTGACGATGAGGCTGACAGGTCGTCAGTGTTTCACATCTGTCCCTCGGGCCCTGCTATAAACAGAGGAAACGGTTTTACATCAGTCAGGCTCATCAACAGCTCTTGTCTGAAGCTCGAACAGAAGACAAACACGTGTTGACATGCATAAGCTATTACTGTATGTTGCTCGTGACACTTGTTGGCAAAGGTCAGATCAGACACACAAAAAAAAGCCTCAGACACCCACATGACAAGTACTGCCCACATTAAGCTGCCTCACAGTCTGCGAAACTTGCTGGACCATTTTACTATTGCAGTTTGGACAGGAAGAGATTCTCACTCTAAAAGAACTCTTATCTCCAATTCCAACCCGGCTGCTCTGCTGTGCCTCAGTACACTCCTGATCTCCTGAAACATGTTGAAATTGCTTCCAGTTGGCCATGTTGCAATGACTAAACACGCCAACATCTAAGCTCATGCTACAAATTGTTTGGCTTGCAGAGCTGTGGGGGTCTATATCTCTCTGTGTGCTCTCCTGGGGCACTTTGCCTGTAATTTAATTAGAGCACACAAGCCAAAGTAAAATATTGACCTTGTAAGGCTGCCATAGCTCTGTACCTGCCTGCTCGGAGCGAGGAGATGAATAGGCACACTTTCCCTCTGCTCACTCTTCTCGCTTTCTCTTCATGCACTCTCTCTCTCTTGCTCCTGCTGTCTGTTTGGCAATTTGTCTCACACGCACACAAGTTTTTTTGAGCCCTGTCTGATCTCTGTGGCCACATTTGGTGGACCACATGGTCATTACAAGCCCCTCAAAGAGTTTCTTATTTAGAACATAAGTCATGAAACAGCTGAATCTATCTGTTTTTATATTCCTGTGATGTTCTATTTACTCTCTAAACTGAGGCAGATTTTAGCTCTTAATAACAACATACAGTCCAAATTAAGAGATGTTTTTAATGTCTTAAGCCATCAGAAATGTCCTCCAGATTCACGCTGGTAACTACACTGGCAGATGCATGCAGCAGCAGCACTTACTCTGGATCTCAGCAGTGTTGGTAATTGATCAGTGGGAGGATGAGAGAATATCCAGAAATGAGAGTGTTTGTCTAACAGGCCAGGACAGTGAGATTAATCTTCCCTATTTATGTGTTCTGCATCGTTATGTGCTGCTCAGCACCTGAAGGCCCCGTCCCTAAATTTGTACACTGTAGAAACTATTAAACTCATTTTGGGTGAAAAACAGTATTTTTCAAGACTTAATCATTTTAAGGTCAGTGGCGTATCCAGACTTCTTTGACAAGGGTGGCCCAAGTGGACCACTAACTTGCAGGTGTGCCATGAAGCACATGCTTGTGGAAGCACACACATTTTTTAAATAAATATGCCTGTGGACAAAATATTGTATTGAAAGCATTGTGCAAAACTTCAAATCTACAATACAAATCTCTCACAGAAAATGCAGCCCAAGATACATCTGTCAACCATTCAGGACATTCAAATGGTTTAATTCACCTGTTCCTGTGTTGGCTTGCAAATTTGTTTTAAACAAAAAGTATGGTTTATTTGTCAAACAGACTTTTTAAACTAAGATCTCTCCTCTGACCGGGGTAAATCATAGTTGATAATGAGGTGGCACCTGGATATACCCAATTTAAAGTCAAAGTGAAATTTAAATTATCCTTACTTTTTCTGTAAGGAAATATATATTATGATGATAGCCTACTGCAGATATTGTGCAGATTTATTTAATTCTTACAAAGAGGATAAAACCTTTTTGGACATATTTATGGGAATATAGTGTCAACAGGAGCGTTTTTTTACGAACATTGATACAAGATGTTTTTTCTGCCTCTTCAACAAACCCACATTGTATGCAGGCTGCTGTTAGCAATTCTAAAACAAGTAAAAACAGGCTAGGCTGAATAATTCTTGTTGAAGCTAGTCAGCCTAGCCTTCAAATAGCACTGTGGCATTGTTAAATAAAATTTTTTTTTTCCTAATTACAATTGGCAAACTCACTCGCACTCTTTATTCATCCTTTCCCATTTGACTTTAAGAGACGTTTCTTCCCCTCAGTTGGGTTAAAGTGCCACTGGCTGCCAGGAATCTACGGCACACCTGGCAAGGAAGGCGCTCTATAAAAATGTCCATCTCAACTTGTGTTTTAATTCACTATTGCGATGGGTTGTCTTGTGTATGTATGTGTGTCGGCACAATGTATTTGTGGATGGCGATTGTCTCACAGAAAAGAAAATTCACAACCGTGTATTTGAATCAGTCGAATCTAGACATTTTCATATTTAGTATTTGCAAGAGTCCAGCTGAAGTATTTCTATGCATCCTCAGTTATGTTTTATATCATATTTATTTTGGGCAAGGACATTGCGCTGACGTCAAATGCTTTAACTGGTGGGATGAACTGAAAAGGCCAGTTTTCAGAGTCCTTGGTTTTGTAACCATCATCCATTCTCAATTACTTTCCACAACAGTGAGGACAGAGTTCCACCTTTACCAACCAGCACAAAACATCTCTCCCTGAAGATTAATTATGTTCTGAAATTGGTTTCTCAGACAAAACTGAAAAGCTGACCCTTTAAAGCAATTGCTGCTTTTGTAGTGGTTCAGTGCACCATCCATAATGAATTGTACTGTGAGGGACATGACAAATGGATTTTCCTGTGTCTTTTGTGGCAGTGTTAAAATACTTAAAAGGTTCTGAATCAACACCAGAAAAAGAAAAAAAGGGCAGCTTGGTTCTGTGTTCTGTGTACCATAGTCTTGGACCGCACTGACTCGCACACTGGTAGGGGACGTGGGACGAGCTTAAAAAACATCTCAAACCTGCAAAAAGATGAATGACGCAGTGTAATTATCTATTCATATTTGAAGCTGAGAGGGGAGTCTGAGGGAGGATGCTTGACAATCACGCATCTGAGTGTTACGCTGACAGTTGTATAATGCTTTAAAGGGTAATCAATTCATCCTTGCATTTGTTGCTTTGTTTTTTGCAGAGACTTAAAATTAGCTTGAGATAATTTGCCACAGTGAATATTTAAACATCTTTTTTGTCACGTTATCGTCACATGGTATGCAGTATTAACCTTCTTTCTCAGTGCCTTTGAGTAATATTTGAGAGCTGGCAAACAGCGCTGTATTCAGAAGCTAGATGTTAGAAAACCATCCCAGAATAAACCACTGATGATGATTTGGTTTTTGGGGTTTTTTTGGGCTGAATAAGGTCACTGTTCAGCTGCTGAGTGCCAATTCTTAGGTGTCAGTTACCCAGAAGCACTTGAATGCAAGAAGGAAGAAAAAAACGAACCTGCCAAGCAATTGTTTTTTGCTGTGATTGATTTTCTACCTCAAGAAAGTTTCAGTTTCTGCAAGTTCATTTGCTGAAATGAATGGAAATGAATGGCTGCCTGGAGGATAGGAAATAGATACTGTATTATATAAAGATCACTGCTCAGCAAACACAATGTTCTTGGAGAATAAGTACATTCCTATGTGTAATATCTGTTGAGGCAAGCTTTTGAACAGGGCAGATTTAACAATTCTTTTTCAAAATATGTTTTTTCGTTTGAACTGAAGCCGTCACCTAGTCTAAAATGTCCAAATAACAAATCATTAATTTAATTTCTGTTTTTTACCATGTTATTTTCAAAATGAATCTAAATGAATATGTTACATTTTACAGCACTTGACATCAAACTGGGGTGGCAGCTGCATGGCTCAGGGACCTTCGTTCAAACATCTTCTTCAAGCAAGAAATCAATTCAAAAAAATCATTGGCATTCCTTTGAAAATATTTGGCAGTAATATATCTGTAGATTTGTATGAGCTAAAGCAAGTTAGTATGGTTCTGAAAAGAAGACAGAACATTTCACACTAAACACAACGTTATTACCCTATACCAAAGCCTAGATTAGCTTTCACTGGGATTCGTGAGAAAAATATCTGGCTCTTCAGCTGCTGAATGCTCTTTGATTCTCACCAGCTAGTTGCTAATTGTGTCTGTCTACTGAGCTGGAAGTAGCCTTCAGTGGGGTTTTCTTTTAGCTGAAAACAGATAAGGTGTGGTAGTGGCAGTGTAGTTGTGTGTATGTGTGTAGGAGAAATACAGTGGCAACAAAACTTGTGAAAAACATGAAAGGTCCTTTAGAGCATTTGGTTTGTCCAAACATGGCAGTTCCACATGACGGACTCCATAGAAGAGAACCTGCTCCCTCTGTAGATAAAAAACAACATTGTAACACAACAACTCTTATTTTCAGGTGATAATGCACTAATGACAACATACCTATGAATATTATATTCCATTTCTGCCAACAGATCCTTAAGTCTCCTTACTCCTGTAAGACCTATCACATTCCTAAATGTTCACCATCTAGTTTTAGTTCATTTAGCACGTGTATTATTAAAACACAATCAAATAAAGCTCAGAGGATCATCATATTACTGCAGAGCTCCAAGAGAGTTACTTAATGGTTCGTCATAATAGTGGTTGTATTTCCCTGTGATTTCCCCCACGGAGTTTCCTACAGAAATGAGTCGAAGCAGAATTAGTTCTAGCAGTGTGTAACAAAGGGCAAGAGTGCAGGATCTGTGCCTTAAGCTAAAGAGAGCAATATGACAAATTTCGTTTGAAAATAAAATATCCCGAAACAATGACTGCTACGCTATCAAAGTGATTTATTAAACAACATTTAAAACTAATCATAAAAAGCAAATCAAACCTCAGTCTAGTTTACAAAATGATAACCCT